CTGACTGCCGCCCTCACGGCGACCGGCACCCCCCGCGGCTTGCTGCCCCAGGCACGCGCTTGGTGCCTGGAGCCGCCCCTGACCAGGACACCCATTGGGCTAGGAGCTGTGCAAGCAGAGAACAAAAAGATGGTCCCTGTCCCAAAGAGGTTACAATGTAAGTATAAGAGAAAAGACAACTGGTGGAGACAGACGGACAGATGTGGGAGAAGAAAGAAAGAAAGAAAGAAAGAGTCCATACTTGTCAGCATGATGGGCAGCAGTCACAGCACACCAGCTGCCTTGTGGTTGTTCATTTTTTTGTAGGCATCATGGCAAAGGAGAACTTTTAAAAAGGGATCCCTTCATCTCTCCCCAAAAAAGCCCTCTTTAAAATCTTTCCTCCTCTGTTCTGGGAGAGTTCCCTTTTCTAGGAGGACCTCAACTTTTCATTTCCTAATTTATTTAGTGTTTAAATTCATAACCTTGATTTTGTATTATCTAATCTAATCTAACCTATTTTCACCATACACACCCCAATCTCTCTCTGCACACACACATAATCATCATTTATCTCCACAAATAAGCATCTGTCTAATCTGCCTAGACACATCAGGCTAGATTCTTATCTCATTACACCAGTGTGATATCTGAGTAAGTGGGTTACTTTTGGATTTGCACCAGGGTCATTAAGATCAGAGTCTGGACTACCGCCACAAAAGTATTCATTGCATCAGAATGACTGGGAATAGAGTCACATGCTACCCTCTAATAGTGGGATTGCCCCTGCCGCTAAGGGAACCAGAAACTGTGGCTGAGGTATGTACGTTACATGCTGATCTGTTAAGCACTATATGGCCATGCTAGGGGAAAATATAGATGACTCCCCTAAGCATTCCTGATGGGATTAACTCCCACCCCTGGCCTGTAGGATGCCCAGATTTCTTTCTCCTTCTGGGGAATTAGGCCCAATGTGGGGGTCCCCAAAATTTTTTCCTTTGAGATTCCCAAACTACTAGTACTCTGATTTTCCTCAAACATCTTTGCATTCATATACCAGAATCCTTTGCAATTTATGCCACTGCAATAATAATCATCAATCATCCTCTTTTTCTCTAGAGGTTACAGCACAGGACTCGAAGCCAAGACTTCCGATGTCAATTTTGCTCTGCCACTGGGTTGCTATGTGAACTTGGGCAATTCACTTCACTGCTCTGTGCCTCAGTTTCCCCATCTGCAAAATGGGGGTTAATAATATTTAACCTACGTACCTGTGAGGTTTAATTCAAGCTACTAGAGAAATACAAAGGATGGTTACACTGTGCGGCAGCAGGGTGTCTTGATTCCAGTGACCTATGCAGAGTTTAGCAGCCCTACTTCACAAATCCCCACCTGCGCCAGGTCTCAGCAGCACTGACTCATTGAGGCACAATGGTTCATTAAGGAGCACTCTATGAGGATGAAGAATAAAGTCAGAACTAAAAGCACAACATCCTATGTCAGGGAACAGAATCAAAGCCGGGCTCTCTCCTCCGCTCCAAGCCGCTGTAGACCTGATAGAACCTGGCATGAATAAACTAGGCTCTGGCTAGTCTGATCATTGACAGAGACTGGATCTCAGAGGCACAGACAGGGAGGTAATTATATGAAGCTGCTTTCTGTGCAATGCTGGAGTTAACGGCCTGTCCTCATGTCTATTAGAAATCTCTTTTTTCAAGGGTTTCAGCTGTGAAAACTTACCCTGGGCAGAAGCGCAGCCAGAATGCTCTCTGTACAGGAACAGCATTTATTTCCTTCCATTTTTTACTACATTCAGGGGGGAAATTAATTCAAGCATGCCCAAGTTCAAAGGGGCAAAATAATTGGCATTTGCCAGTCTGAGATTTGCTTTAAAAATCCTGGGTATGATGCTTAGTTACACTCTGGCAAAAAGTGGCCTTAAAGTGGGTGGAAGTTGCTCCTTGAGCATGCCCCCTCTACAGGGGGTTCTCTGACCAAGATAAAAATACTGTAAAGTTTCTAAATCCACCCTGCTCCCAGCCTCTGGGGTTGGGAACATATTGGGGGTGTGGTGGAATACTGCGTGCTGTGACTATCCTCTGTTTCCCTGGGCCAATGGAGGCCATGGGAAACAGGGCATATGCTAGAGCAGCCACAAGGCTGCTCTGACATACACGGGGGGCCGAACAGGGCCCTGCATGGCTCCAGAATACAGGGAGCACAAACATGGCCTAAAGCCCTCTTTGCCCCCAAGTCCATCCCCATTGCTGCCGCAAACAGTATAAAAAAGCATTTCCTTTGATCAGTTTTGAATTTGCCACCTTTAAATTTAATCAAATGTCCTCTATTCTCCTGTTATGAGACAGAGAGAACAGAAGTTTCAGTCTACCTTCTCTAGACCATTCATTATTTTACATAATTTTATCAGGTCCCCTCTTATTCATCTCCTTTCTAAAAGGTAAATTATCCCCAGTTTTTCACACTCTTCATGTGAGTTTTTCCATGTCCCTCTGCCTGTGAGATTAAATATCTAATGCCGGGCGGAATCTGTGTTGCCTTTAATAGCTAATACATGCTAGAGGCTGCAATTTCAATATTAATAATACTTTGAACTTCTCTAGCATCTTTCATCTGAGGGCTTGTCTACATGGGAAAGTTTTACCAGTAATATTGGTATAGTTAAGCCAATATAACTCCCCATATGCACATTCTTATTACAGGGACTTTTTTTGGTTAAGCTTAAACTGCTTTCCAAGTGACATGAGCTAAACTGAAAAAAGGCCCCCTTATACCAGAATATAGATGCAGGGAGCGCCACTGGTATAACTACACTGCTTTAAATTTGCCCCTTAGCTTATATTGGTAAAACTTGCTCATGTAGAGAAGTCCTGAGAATCTCAAAGATCTCTGTAAGCAGTCATTAATTAAGCCTGTTTTTCAGATGGGCAAACTGAGGCACCATGAATTGTCTAAGGTTACACAGCAAAGCGGTGAATCGAACCCAGGAGTCCTGGCTTTCAGATCCCCAACTAGACAGGCTCTTTTCTTCAGTAGAGGAGCTCTGCTAGAGTGTTTTATACAACAGGTCACCAAGCGAAGTTGTGAGGAAGAAGAAATTTTCACTGAATATCCATCTAATTTTTCCTAATCTAAACTTCATTTCAAAGTGTCACTATTTCAAATGAGGGTTTAAAAAAATCCCTCCTACACAGTGTAAGAAGTCAGTCAAGGAGAATGCTGGGTAAAGGTCTGGCTTCTGCTGACAAGGTATTTAGGGGCAGTGTCTATAAACAAAGCAGCAGTGGGAGTATACAGCTAGCAAGGCAGAAGGACTGTGATGAGATTCCTGAAAACTAGAGTAAGATGGAGACGTTTTTATGAAGTCCTTGTTCCATTAGTAACTGTCTGTTCTAGGGTTTAACTATGACAAGATGCTCTCAGAGTGGGTGCACAGAATGTACAGGCTGAGTCAGACTCAGATGAATTGTAGAAGCTATTCAGTGGGTGAAAAGGTACTGTTGATGTCGTAGAGGGAACATGCACAGTTAAATAAACTGATAAGGAAATACAGGATGAAAAGAGGTCCACCTCGTCCAGTTCCCTGCCTTCAGCAGTGGCCAGTGCCTGATGCTTCAGTGAAAGGTGAATCCTTTCCCCCAGCATACACACATTTGCCAGGCCAGATATGTAATGCTGTATATGGGGTGGATGAGTATTCCTTTTGGAGCCCTTCAGCAATCAGCTCATGTCTGCTTGGTTACCCCTGTATTTGTGAGCAGCTTTGAAAAAGCTTGTTGGGTTATGTTTTTAGAGGTGATATAGCTGGAAGATCAATACTGTGTTCAGGGCCGACAAGACGGGGGGGAAGCCGGTACAAATTACCGGGGCCCGGCTTCCCCCCACTCTCGTTGGCCCTGTTTAGCCGGTCTGCCCTTGCTGCGGGGCCCGAACTCGCTCTCGACGGCCCTGTGTGTTATGGGAGGGGGAGGAAATCACCGTCTGGAAACAATGTTTGACAGGCTTAATTGGATGCTTCTTTGCAGTTGAGCTGTGGAGTCAAATTGACTCTCTTAACACTGTGGCTGGTTGTGTCGTGTGATTTCAGAGCTGTGAGACCCAACATATCATTTCCCGGCTCAAAGGAGGGAGCTGTCCCTTCTGATGAGCATGAAATGGATGGCAGGAAGAGGGATAAAATGACACTTGGCAGTGGAAGATGAAGCCCTAAACTCCCGACTTCCTCAGGGTCAGAGGATCTGGCATCCCCCCTGAGCAGAGCACCCATTGGAATAAGTGTGTGTTTTTGTGTGCAAAAGGAATGCTGCAAATATCAGGGAAAAGGAGAGCACCCATCGGAGAGAGAGAGAGAGAGAGAGAGAGAGAGAGAGAGAGTGTGTGTGTGTGAGAGAGAGAGAGAGAGAGAGGTCAGAAGCCTTACAAAGGCATAAGGATATGGCTTTGCCATGCAGCACAGTCAACCTGCCTTGAGGTTTGAGTGATGGAGAGAGGGAATAAATGACAGGAGTACAGTGGAGCACAGAGCATCCCTCCCTCTCCTGTACAAAGCCCTCCTCCTCAGAGATTACCCTAGAATCATTGGGTACTTCTTTAGGTCATAAGAGTAGCTGCTCATTGATTGGACTGGGGAAGGTAAATTCCTTTGAGAAATCTGGATAAATAGAGGCAGCCGAGCTCAGATTTGCAGACAGGTAAAAGGCGAATCTAGGACTTTGACAAGACAGAGGAAGAATAGAAAGAAACAGGCACTGAATTAGGGAATTGATGTCTTATTAAACTGATGGGCATACCTCGGGCTCTTACCAACTTACAGTGCAGCTATAAGACAGAAATAAACAAAAAAGAGGGAGGAAAAAACCCAAGATCTCGCTTCTAATCTCCCTCAGCAGAACGCGAAAGAGCCCCAACCTTCTCACTGAGTTCTTTAGAACCCAACTATTTAAACATTTGCCAGGTTAGACGAGGATCTTTAGAGGTTTAGACGAGGATCTTTGTCAAGAGCTATGGAAAGCTTTAGAGTTTTTTTCCTGATGATTTTGCTTTGTTCACAGATTTTCTGTTTTGAAGATGTGCCCAGTTTGGAGAAAGACCCTTGGACAGCCCCGTCTCTGAAGGTAAATGGCTTATTCTTCCTTTCTTTGTGGATTTTTGAAGGCTGGGAGGGTGTTTTGAAGCCATTTATGGCTTGGGGAATTTATTCTCTCAGTATCTTAGCACAGTCTGATTTAACTTTATAGTCTCCTGCAAAGGAGGACCACTAAGAGCTAGTAGTGATGCTTTGCGCTGATGTAGGACTTGACCTCTTCAAAGTCCTTTCCAAACAATAATACTCACAACACCCCAGGAAGGTGTGGTAGGTAGGGAGGTATTTATTATCTCCACTTTACAAATTGGAAAACTGAGACCTAGACAGGTTAAATGACTTCGTCTCAAGGGTCTCTGGTTAAAAAGGAAACGTGTGTAACATATTTTTAAAGGAATGGTTTCTAAGAAGTGAAAAACATCCATCAGTAATCCCATTGGTGCTAGACACCACAGCAATGGCTACATTAGAAACAAGGTACTTTGAAGGGTTATTACATACGGTATGTTTCTAGACAGCGTATCTGCTTTGAAGTGCAGTTGCATACAGAAAAGGGGCTACGTTAAATATAGCACCTTCTTCAAATCCTATCTGCTCAGTTCTCTATCACTAGTAAGCGTTAGCCAATGCAGCTAAGGGACAGGAAGCTAAAATATATTCTGCCCCATGTATCAGCAACTAAATTGTCATGCAAGCTTCCTCTGAGTACTGTAAACTTTTCTACTGGCAATAAAGGGGAAAAATAACAACTATACTTAGCTTGTATGCAGTGCTTTTCATTTGTAGTTCTCAAAGCACTTTACAGAAGAAGGTAATGATATTCATCCCTACTTTACATGTGGGGAAACTGAGTCACAGAGCAAGGCCATGATGTGCCCCAGGTCATATAGCAAGTCAGTGGCAGAGCTGAGAACAGAATGCAGGAATCCTGACTCTCAGTCTAATGCCCTTGCCACTGGACCACACTACCATCCCAGTATGGCTTGGCGTTTCAGATCTCATGGTGAGTTGGCAGGCCTGGTAGTCTGAAAACTCCTCTTATGATTTGTAAGCTATAAGCAAAGTTGACTGGGAAATTGCTGAAAGCAAAAGGTGGAACCCTTTAATGTCTTAATGATACATAGGAAGTGCCAGATTGGATCAGATAAGTTTGCTGTCCTGTCCCTGACAGTGGCCAGTACCAGCTGCTTCAGAGGAAAATGCAAGAACCCTACAGCAGGTAGTTATGGGATAACCTGTCCATCAGAAAATTTTCCTTCTGACTCCCATCCATTAGAGGTTGGCTCATGCCCTGAAGCAGGAAGGCTCAATGGATCTTCAAAAATTCTGTGATTTTTTAATTTGAAATATTCTTTTTACTAACAGCACGGTATATTAAACAGGAACTAACTCCTACCCTTTATAAGAGTTCCAGCCTTCCAGGACATGAGGTTAGAGTTTAAAAACACCTCACATTCCTGACATATATTAACACATCTGAGAATCTTTACATTACAAGGGGCAGAAATCACTTATAGGCTAGATCTCAGTAATAAGGAACAAAAGAGAAAGTGGAATTGTGAGTTTGTTTGCACACACTGAGCCCGATTCTCTACTGCAATGGCCCACACGCACTGGGGTTTCTTTTACCTCTTCATTTGCAAAGTATATACAGCAAGGCTGCTGGTTTGCCTCCGGAGATTTACAAGAGCCATGATGAAAATCACTCTTTGCCATTGGATGTTGTATTATCATTAATGTTCAGAAGTGGTTAAAATGATCTGAGCTCTGAGTGGAAATTTCATAGCCTGGACTATCTAGCTACAGGGATTGGATCTCCTGGAGTCATTTAGTAGCACTAGGGCAATTAATGTCAAGCTGTGTTATTGAAGTCCTATCAAATCTCTGTAGATATCAGTATCTGCCTGTGTAGGAAGCTAACGCAGTAGCATGACCAATTTGGCATCCCTTAACTATTTCACCCTCAATGCTCCAAGCTGCTGCTTGAAGGGAAGTTTTCGCTCCCAGACTCTCAGCTCTTGGTTCATTACTAACAGCGGGGATGGGATTTCAGCTTCTGTCCTTGGCTCTCCCTTTTGCTTTCTAGGATGAGGGCTTGCAGAGCAGCTCCCTCCAGCGCTTTGCACAGCTGGTGAAAAGGGGGAAATTCCAGCAGTTCTATGGCCTGATGGGAAAACGGGCTAGGGGTAAGTTCAGTGCTTATCAGAAATTAAAACAGGCGTCCCCCCTTGCTTAGTCCATCAGACCAATGCATGCAAATTGCCACTGAATGCAAGGACCTAGTACTTTCCCTTGTTCAACAAGAGAACTGTTGGGCTTTTCGTTTGGTGAAGGGGAGGTGAGCTGCTTTCATACTGCAGCCCTAACGGTCTTCTATTTTCCCCTCACTTCTGTGATCCTTTGTGACAACCACTATCGTTCTGCCTGAAGAGATTTCATTCAGAATTTATCAGTGGCACCCTGATAATCAAAGGGTTGATATTTTCACAATAATACCACTTATCAGAGGAGCCAAAGGTTACCAACATTATCCCCATTTTAGAGATGGGGAAACTGAGGCTTGGAGAGGCAAAGTGACTTGACTAAGGTTACAGAGTGAGTTAGTAGCAGACCTAGGAGCAGAACCTAGGTCACTCTTCTCCCAATACCTTGCTCAAACCACTAGACCAAATGGCCTCTCTGAGGAACAAGCCCTCCCTTGGCTCAGAGTGCTTCCTACACAGCAAAACTAGTCCCTGCTGGTCTCCACTGCACAAGAATGAGACTAGATCCGAGCACCTGGCAACACAGTATTAATCCGCCACCTCTTCCTCTCCTACATTAAATATCCACCCAAGAGGGAATCCCATTGCAATGACAGCACATGACTTTGTACATCTCTTTAGAATGTGGGCAGCGTAATAAGCAAAATGCATATATGACGTTACACAGATCACTTGGGAGAGGTTCAGGGGAAAAGAACAAGGTGTTCACGCCCAACCTTCATTTCTCTCTTTCTTTTTAAAAAGGGGTGCCACATACTTCACCAGCGGGGCACAAGAGTGAGTGTTTCTTTTCCCCTCATCTTTCTGTTTGTAAAGCCAGTAATGTACGTTCACCCCTACCCACAGCCCAGAGAGGCAGACACAATAATTTTGCTTAGAGTCACCTGCCTCTGTGTCCCTAAAAATGATAGATGAGCTTTTTCCACCACCAAATCCTAACGGGAGTCTAAGTGGTACCTTGATCTGTTGCTAAGGGGAGGAAAAATTTTACTAACGAGATTGCTGTAACATGCTGATGTGCTCCAATCTGTATGAAAGGAGAGAGAAGCACAAAAACCATCTTGAAACATACTTGAAACATGCTGCTTACCCCACCCCCCAAAGGCAGATAAATACCATTCCTATTTTACAGCTACAGAAACTCAGGCAGGAGGTGAAGTGACTTGTCCATGGCCACTGGAGGAGTCAGTGGGATTAGGAGTTGGGTGGCCCTGGATCTCAGTCTCACACTCACACCCTCAGAATACACCTCTCTTTCAAAACAATGAGGGGCAGGGGAAAGCTTCAATCCTCCATCCTGCCCTCAAAGGATTCTTATTTGGACAGGTCAACACTCAACACCTAGTTCCAGGCTTTCCTGGGGTCAGGTCGATCCAGACAGACTAACTTTGTCCGAGATTTTTTTTTTTCTTCCTAGCTTTAAACCACAAAAAACTTTTGAACCAAAGTCTCTTCTTAGGAACAATACTGTCCTCCTCGTTCAGCTCCAGAGTAGCTCTGGGCCAGCAGCAGAGGAAGAGACACAAGGCTCTTCACACTTCTAGAGTATGGCCGTTCGGCAATGGACAGTGGCTCACAGTAATATAGCAGGGGAATCGGTGACAAAAACAGAGTAAGGGCTTGTCTACACCCTGTCTGGGTATTGCTTTAGCTAATATCGGTTTGAAATCCATATAGTTAAAGCTGTACAACCCTCCCCTAGTGTGGATGCAATACTGCCAGTATAAAGAGGCCTTATATCAGTAAACTGCAGCCAGACTGTGGGTTTTACTGCCTGAAACTATTTTGGTAGAAAAATAGTTTTACTGGTACGAAAACTGTGTGTAAACCAGGCCTAAAGGAGGCCGAAATGACCAATTCTCATGTCCACTGTAGACATGCTATTGGTATGGGTCCCCATCTACTTTTCCTGCGTTTAACTTTTATACGTCTCCTTGCCAACCTCTGCATCTCTTTGCCGTACTAGGGCACCAAGGAGAGACGTTCATAGGACTCATGGGACGAAGATCCTCCAGTGGAGGTGGGTGAGCTCCCATACCTGACGCTCCTTATATCAGTCTCTCTCCCGTCAGTTATTCTGACAGGGAGCTTCAGCTCATTATTCACCTGTCCTCCTCCTCCGCCCACTTATTTATAGGAATCCTCTATAGCTGCTGGAGTTTGCAAGAACTTTGCTTGATGCAGCCAGACCCTCATTGGTTCCAGTCTCTCTGGTGGCATTTGTGTGTGTACAGTTGTGTCTTAGTCATGCAGCACAGGGTTTTTATTACGCCCCCCAATCCCTTTCACTAAGGAACGTCCCTCTTGGCAATTTACCATCATATATACGACATGCTGCTGATTTACTATTCCAGCTCCAACTCTTGAGAAGAAGCTGGTATTAACTAATTGGGAATCTCCAACTTTCCTACCAAAATTAGTTTGAGCACAATTTAAAAAGAAAGATACTGATTCCCAAATATTGGGGTGTGAGGATAGGGCATTTCCCACCTTTAAGTCCACACGAGAGCGCAGCCTAAAAGCTAGGAATAACTACTGCACATGATAGCATGACTTTACCCCCTCCTTGCAAAGTTATTCCAAGTTGCCGTTTTTCTCTTCCATAGAATATTTTGTAGCTGCAGTTTATATGATTTTGAAGGAAGCTAAAACTTGCTGGAACACAGGTCTTTGTTTACACCCGCCCCCACTTGCATATATTTTCTGCTCCAGAATTATTATTTGTATTAGGGTAGCACCTAGAGGCCCCAATCAAGATCGGGGCCCCAGTGTGCTAGGTTCTGTGCAGACACATAGTAAGAAACAGTCCTTGACCCGAAGAGCTTACATTTTCAACAGACAAGATCAACAAGGGGTGGGAGAAATGATCCCATTTGCAGATGACAAACTGAGCCCCAGAGAGATTGAGTGACTTGCCCAAGGTCACGCAGGAAGTCCGTAGCAGAGCCAAGAAAAGAAATCTGGGTTCAGGAGTCCCAGCCTTGTGCCTTAACCACAAGGCTACCCCTCCTATCAGGACTGAAGGTCTTTTCCACTGCAGAAATTGGATCTCAGACCTGGTCCATATTAAAAAGTTAGGTGGACCCAGCTACGTTAAAAATCCACCCCCCTGGGCGACATAGTTAAGTTAATCTAACACCTGGTGTAGACAGCACTAGGTTGACAGAAGAATTTTTCTGTCGACCTAGCTACTGGCTCTGAGGGAGGTGGAATACTTACACCAATGGGAGAACCCCTCACATTGGCACCGGTAGCATCTACATACACTGAAGTGCTTCTGCAGTGCTACAACTGTGCTGCTGTAGCGTTTCAAGTGTAGACAAGCCCTCGCTACTATAGAAACCAATCCAAATAGACGTCCCTCATGCAGGTATTTTTCTCTCCTCCTACAGAGTCAACACAGGACTGGGACAACAGCCAGCCACTTCCTGCATGGGAGCCATAGCACGACACTCCATCAGTGACCTACAGCGGCTCCTTTCCTTCACAAGCACTAGATTACGATAGCTATGTCGTCTGCTTGTCCATTCACACCCCATGAATGGAGTAACACAGTGCTTTTCTAGTACCAGATAAGCACTTTAGGATCTTTTCTTTTACTACTGTCTCCTTTGGTCAAACTGCTATGATATATAAATGTATTGCTGTTGCTGGGAAGAATTGGCGCTTTCTTTACATCACATTCAATGAGCAGGGCACAGGGTTAGTATATCCCGTCCTTACTCCTGTAGACAGACAGATACACACTTTGGTTTCCTTATTGCATTATTTCTGCTGAGGTGATGAAGCCTGAAATGTAAGTTCTTAAAAATCAAAAGAGGAAGGAAATGCTCATCTAGTATCTTTTCTTCATTTTTTTAAAGTTAATAACCTGACTGCAGGGAGCTATTGGGGACATAAAAGTTGTGTAACTAAAGTACACAACGTATATAGCAAGAAAGGTTTATTTTATCTCCTTCATCTCCCATTTCAATTCATTATGGAATAAGCACCCATTGTGGGGCAAGCACAAAAAACAGTACCTGAAAAGCTTTCAGTCACCTCGTTGTGGGCGGGAACGGAGATATTTTTTTGTTCTGTATTTGTACACAGAACAATTGCTCAGCAGTGTTATAATGAGGTGCATCGCTCTGGTAGGTTAGGCCATAGTACTCTGTAGTCTAAGGTACAGAGTGTAATTGGGAGGCTACTGCATTCAGTAAACTTTCAGCCATTAAGAGTATGAAGAATTTCCTAGTAATCAATAGCAGCCTAGTGTGTCTCAGCACCATCTTCCTCTCAAGAGATACATACTGCTGCTGGTTGAGAGAGACGCTCCCCTCTACATCCCCACAAATACAGCGTGATCCTCACAGAAACCTTGAGCATCACATTAATATTTCCTCTGGTTCCTGTAGTCTAATAAATGGGGCAGTGATGTACTGGTACAGCTACCAAGATCAATGGTTCTCTGCCACATTCTCCACGATAGTCGTTTTCTATGGCAAGAGTATCAGACTTCACTGGGGTGAGACATTCCCTTATTTCTAATCTCCAACCCTTCTACTCTAGGAGAAGGGGGGGGGAATGATGCCAGCAGAGCTATTTGGCAATGTACTCATCAAGGTTTCACATATTCTCCTTGCTGATCAAAGGCTCTTCCTCTTCATGGAGGAACAGAAACACATGGCAACACAGGGTAGGTGCACAGATGCTCATCCCAACCAGAGTGTAAGAGAGGAGAGCAGAAAAAAGGAGAATCCAGGGTGATTTGCTTCCCACAGTGAATCTCTGGAGAGAGATGGAACCAGAGCAGTTTGATTAGCTTCCAATTTAAATCAGACATTGTAGCAAAGGCTCAAAATCTTTGAGGTCTGCCTTGAACTTCAAACTTTTGATCTTCAAAAGATAGAGACTTAGCTCTTCAAAATTCTCCTGGGGAGGAAGAAATAGGTCTTGTTTCAAAGAGTTTAAGGCCAGAAGGGACTATTAGATCACCCAATCTTACGTCTATAGCACAGTTCATTAATTATCAGCCAGATACCCCTATATTAAGCCCGAAGACTTCCATTAGACTAAAGCATTCCAGTCCTCAGGAGACTAAACTGTGTGCCACGGCAGAGAACAGGAGACTAAAAGGTGCCTTGGTCATGGAAGAACAGCTAGGGTAAACAACGAGGAAGCTCCTCCCTTCTTACAACAACTTTGGGTGGCCCCTACAGTCAGCTTGGTATGAAGTATGGACGTTGGAGGTATGGTCTTAGGGCTACTGTACCTGCTAGAGTTGCACATTCCCAACAGCGCCATCCACCGCAGAGTCATTTCTAAACAAAGCTAATACAGGATCTAGGACATTTTTAAACACAGCCAACCTGAAGGCTGCTTCAGTCACTATCCCCATTACAATGACAGCATAAAGGCAGGTTCAAAATTAAAGTATCTTACACGTTAGGAATGGAAAAGCAGTCTCACTCGACGGAAGAGCCACCTTAAATCCCCACTGCTCAGGAAAACTAAAAGGAAGGAATTGACGACTTGAGCAGAGAACATGCTTTATTGAGAAGTAGATACAGGAATAGCACATTCTACCACATCAGGGGAACAGGGTTTAGCTTGTGTACATGACTGGCCTTCTTCCCCACTCCCCAGAGTTCCACCCTGCCAGATGGTTCCAAGAGTAGGTCTTCAGCTACAACGTAGGATCCAAGGGCACTTGACAGCAATCCTCAGTAATGCCCACAAGAATATAAATCCTGTGCCGAGATCTATTTATTTAGGGGGGCAAAGAAAAAGGCACAGCCCACCATGAAAGGGCCCGTAGAGAACTTCTCCACACTGGGAATGGTCAGTGATTAACAAGAAATGGCCCTTACTTACCGGCACAGGGTAAGAGCTTCATTTCAGACACCACACAACAAGAGATCATCGGAAGGGTCTAAATGCAGCTATCACTCACCTCACACCTGTCCCCTCGCAGGAGATAGATAGGAAACACATGGCACAAGGACAGTGGTTATACTTGAAAGCCATTTTACGGAGGTTTCTTTTGGTGGTGCAGAGGGGTGTGTATGTGGGGGGGGGTCACTGTTGTTCTACAAGAACAGACAGGATGCACTGTCAACAGAAAAGCAACCATCCATACAGCTAGCCGGAGCCGCTGCTGATGCACAGAATGTATGCTTTAGACAATCCAACAACTGAGGATATTGCTTTATAGACTTTCTGTGGCTGTTTGGACAAGGATATCAAAAATTCACCTGAAATTAATATTTTATTCCTTTAATATAGAGAGAGTCTTTTCAAAAAGCTACAATTCAAAGACTGTTTTAGGAGAACGACTAAGTTGAAATACACTAAACTTGTTTCTATACGTGTAAAGGAAACCACCAACTCCAGCAACAGGAAACCAGTGATATCTGACCTAAGAGGCCTGTACTGCCATGATACCGTACTAACCTCAGGAGAGCCTGCCACACCCAAAAGGGCTACTCTGTAACAGTATGTCACATCACAGTGCTTTCACACTATTAATCTGGACTCTTCCAGGGTAACACCAATGATCACAGCACTCACTGACAGGTGCAAGTTGTGCAAGCTTCAGAGTGTACAATATTAGCAGTCAGTTTTTGTTACACGAAGACCTGGTATATTATGTGGGGAAGCTCTCTTTAAAGAGGTGTCATGCTGTCTTACTGAAACTAATTGATACATGGGGTAAGGAAGTTCATCAGACAGGATTAGTTATAACAATGCTGAAGTCAGTAAACTGGCAGCATGTTGGGAACCTGCTTGGATGCAGATTTACAACCCTTTCCCCAAACAAAACGTTGATGGAATAATTTGGAGAACAGATTTGTAGACCTTGTTCAAAGGCCACAGAAGCTGTCCTGTCCATTACTTAGAAAGCAGAGTGCCTGCAGGAAGGAACACAAACAGATTATAGGACACGACACAACCTCATTGGAATAAGAACGTGAGGGTAGGACCAGTGACTGGACAGGTACAGTACCAGATATCAGAACTCCTTGGGCCAGTGCTTGGGTCCTATACAGATCCAATCCTTGCAACCTCATTGAGGCCGAAACATAAAGTTCCTCAGAACCAGCGTCTGTGGTGTGCACAAAAGATCTGGGCCAGAACAGTACCAAGGGGAACTGATCTTCCTGGAGGGTACTGTACCAGCCAATCACAATAGCAACAGATACAACAGAGATCCCTAGGGTACTTCCTACTGCTGGGGTTCTTCACTGGCTTCTGGAGTGATGGCCAGTTAAGTTCCCTTGGGAGGGGTCCATTTCAAACAACTGGGATCCATTGTCTTATTGGTGTTTGATCTTTTTGCCTCTTTGGCTATCCATTCGTCAATCAGATCCTGAGAAAGAGAGCATGAAAGGGCAGGTTAAACCAAAGAGAATAACTGATGTGAATTATCCATTGGACAACCCACATGTGAGTCCAACACTCTGGAGATGACCTGCGCACCATCTGCTTGGTATCACAGAGATGACACGTTGTGAATGGAGCAGCCCATATTACTTTTTAGGAACTCCACTGATAACATAGGTCAGGCTGTCTTCACCTACAGGTGACAGCCCCAGAAAGGGGAAATTAAAAAAACAGTGAAGAGGGGAGCTGGGTTTGAGGATTTACTTGCTTAAGACTAGCAATGGAATTTCCCTATGTCAAAAAACAGCACAGAAGGTGGTTAAAAAGCAGAGGATTTCTACACTAGTTGGGGGGAGGAGGGAAAAAAAATCAGACTGGGGACCCACCTGAAACTTTATCAGATATTTTGTTTCGCTTTAAGATTAAAAAGTTCCCTCACCAGAATCAAAGCGCAAGAAAACCCAAGACAAGGCATAGGGAATGTAGATTAAGATAAGATATTATCCTATGGACCCAACACACAAAGCTGAACTGTAAGCAATGAAACGTGCAGGTGCAGCACCAGAAGTCTTACCTGTCTCTTTAACACCAGGTGTTTTCCCTTCCAGTACTTGAGCATCTGAAGTGCCTGCAGAGTACTAACGATGTCAACAGGGTTCACTGCAGTCTCCTGGCTGATTTCTGAAAAACAAGATCACGGTCCACAAGAGGCTAGAAGGCAGCAGGCCAGACCACCAAGGAATTCCCTCAAGACTGCAGCTGTCGTACTTGTTTAGTTCTCGAATACAACTTCATGTTATGCCGTGCCCGCCCTTCATAATTATATCCACAAGATGCCTTGCCAATACTGAGATCTTTTAAGTTTAATGACAATACTCATTCCTCTGCTTCAGCTTGGTCAATGATTAGGGAAGCAGTGTTATCTAGTGGTCAGAGCAGGTACTGGGCGCCCACAGTCCATTCCCAGTTGTGTCACTGACTTGTTATGTGACCGTAGGCAAGTCATCACCTCTGTGCTTCACTTCCCTCACCTGTGAAATGGGAATAATTGTTATCGCCCAAGGGGTGGCTGTGAGGCTTAACTGTTTGTAAAGAACTTTGGAGAACCTTAGTTTCTATACAATTTGCTAGTAATGAAGTCTACGTATCTATCACTGCATATAGTCGAAGTATTTTTAGAAATTTTCGGAAATTTCTCCTTAGCCAAATAGTTTTTCCCTTTTGAAATTAATATTCTAAATTAGCGATGCATTTCGTCCTCTAAAGAAAGCCACAACACAAATCACCATCCACCTCCTGGTACTCCCTGTAGCCAGTTGGGATATGCAGTGACTGAATGCCATTTATTCAGACCTCAATAGTGACCTCTGTGGAGGAAAACTATAAAGATTTACTGGATTGTCACACAACTGTCAATTCATACAAAGACAAGAAGAAGAGAGGCAAAATGGCCCCAGCTGGCCACCAGCACCAAACCTCAGAAGAAAACAATTTGGATCTATTGGGAACGAGCAAGAGACTACTCACCACCTACATTGGGTAATGCAGCAATGAAAAGAGTTGATTTTTGAAAGCATAGACATGAGCTAAGCAGCATCCATGTGCCTGCTGTGTTCCTATTAACTAGATCTGCATAGCATCAGAGGTGTAAAACATTACTCATTTGTATCTAGTTATTCAGTCTTGCTTTTCTGGAGAGTGAGCTGTGCAGAGGAGCTGCTCAGAATGATGCTGACTTTCAAGCTGCTGTTTTGATCCCTATGGCTCACTGGTTTTCTTTTTATAAACAAAATTAATTAAGGGCATAAACGTGGGTGCTTTGAGAGTCTTCAAAGCCCAGCAACCTAGCTTAATTTTAAAAACAGTGGAGTGAGACAGCCAGACAAAAACCCATCTCATTACAGTCTAGAGGAGCCACGCCACTTTAAGAACCCCAGTAAGAGAAAGCAACTCACCCATGAGGGTAAAATGGACCAAACGTCAGTCAGCGCAGGTTTGGAGAAAGGGGTGAAGAACAAAGAGCACAGAAACGTTCCTGAACAAATTCTCTACAAGCTCATTTAGCACTAGAACACACCTTTGATAGAGATCTCTTTGCCTTGGAAATTATGCAGATAACGAAGAAGAACTTCCTTCCAGTAACTACGGTAGCTGATAAGGCCCAAGTCAGACAGCGGGCGTTCTGGAGAGCCAACCTTTTCTTCCACTTTGGAAAGTAAATAACCTGCGAGCAAGAGAAGATGTTTACTCACAGTATACCAGGCTCTCTCCTGACTGTCAACTAGCTACAGTTAACTGCAGGGATTTGTCATCACAGAGGCCCAAAAAGCAACATGTGTGTTGCACAAGTTCACCAAGAAATAGTTAATCTGGGGCAGCCAATGCCTCCTGAATACCACTTTATTAGTAGCACTGGAAAAGCAGCTCCGAAGTCTTTTTCCATACAGACAGACCAACTATAGCCTGCAAAGTGGTGAACGATTATAATTCAGTCCAGGAAATACTGCTGACTTGCATCATCAGTATGATCTGAGACACATTTGGAAAGAACCACAAGAGGCAACTGTGCAGATTTTGTTAGCATAAGTTTCCCTGCAAGGGAGTAACAGTACCTGGATATGAACCATGCTAAAGGCTCCTCTTTTGATGGCCACTTCTGCACCTACATATCTGTTACAACCCTGCCCTGAATGGCCCCACTGGCACACACATGCAAAAGAGTGTGCTCAACAGCTCTTCTGGGAGTCAAGGGCACTGATACATTATGTACAAGCTTGGTTTGAAGGAATCTTATCTGACTCAGCTGTGCATTTCTCTGCTTCTCAAAGGTCAGTGCAGGAATACAGTCTAGAGACAAAAGCTGAACTCTTGAAGATAGAGGGTTTGCCTCATTTCACAGACACGGCTGAAAGATTTTGCCATAACTTTTCCATATACTTACTGAAGTCAATGAGCATTTTGCCATAACCCTGCCTCATGTACTGGGGCATCGTCAGAATACAAGACACATTGTAGTTGAGGAAAGAATTCTTCTCCTGAAAGCAAGAAGAGGGAGGAACTAGATCAGCAGGTCTCAATCTGCACAAACAGCAAGTCTATCACTATTGCAACAAGCCAAACAAGGCAGCACAACTGACGCAATACAAGTTGAGGGAAACAGCAATGCAATAGCCAGCCTGACAACTAACTTTCAATGTGAGCTTCCTCCACCCACCAAGCTGGCGTAGAGTTTATTACTGTATTAACCATTAAACTGGGCATCCACTCTCATGATTGCTAGGAGTAGGATGGAAGGCAAATAGAGCCCTGTCATGAGAGATTGTTGATTTAACCAGGACATTAGGGTAGTGCTGGCACAGCAATCTCTGTTCTGAATCCAACAACCTTCTTAATTGCACATGCAACATAAAGTCAACACTGCATTAGAATGATACACATACTGCACTAGCAAAAAGTTTAATGAGGGAAGAGACCCATTAGGACAACGCAGGATATTTCTTTATGTTTCTTTAGTGCTTTATCCAGTCATAATTTAGGTGGCTTAAGAGACGGAGCTTCCAACACTCTCCTTGGGAGACTATTCTACTGTCTAATGGCTTTCATTTGCTGCAATTTTTACTCTCTCAGGACAATTGCACCACAGAAACTGCATTTAAGTAAAGACAGCTAGGAAGTGTACTTCACAAAGATGTACTAGGCATTAAAGAAAAAGTCCAGAGACACTTCTGTCTATTAAGGAGGCAACATGGGTGAGCAGACAAGGCACAGAACTATGAGCTAGGAGACCTGGCTTTTACCCTAACTTCTGCCACTGACATGTGGTGTGGCCTTGGGCAATTCACTTCACCTTTGTTCCTCAGTTCCCCTATCTCTAAAATGGATATGATATTTTCCCATCTCAAAGTGCTTTATAAAGCTCTAGGGATAAAAAGCATTAGAAGTGCTAACTATTATTAGAAAATGAATCTAAATTTATCACAAAGGAATTCATCTCCATTTGAGACAGAGAGATCCTAGCTAACTTGTATACAAGTGATTACGAATTACTGTTTAATATAACAATGTCTCTTTGCAAAAGTTTGATTTTGCTAGCCATTAGGAAAGCTAAATAGCAAAGCTTCTGAAAAGCTTCTGTAGTTTAGCTTTGAAATTTTAGCTCTTCCTGGACACTTGGATGTTGGGACTTGTAGAAAACTGAGGAGTGAGGGTTTGTACAGATGACCTCTGTCTTAAGCTACAGCATTAATACAGGTTTACATATATTGGTGGTTGATTTCTACTGACCTTGGAGAAATACCCTATCAGGTGGCAGCCAGTGTTGTCAGCTTCTGTCATGACATAGAAGAGGAAGGGTTCAACATCGTAATACAGAGTCTTATGATCCAAGAAAAGCTTCGCCAGCAGGCACAGGTTTTGGCAGTAGATCTGGAAGCAGAAGGAGAATCTGACACACCTGTTTGTCATGGTGCAGCATCTCTGAAAGAGAACCCCTTCCACTTTTGAAAGGATGGGAACTGTAACAAAATACAGATTAGAGTAGATCTGTTCTTCCACCAAATGTGCGTCTTCTCAAAACAGCTTCATTCCTAGCCATGGCAACAAAACCCCTCAATATCCAGTTTCTAGGAGGGCTTAGAAGGGTCTTCCACTATGGCTCTAGCCATTTGGAGGCAACTGTACCACTTCACTAGACTAAGCCCTCGGTTGTACCTGCCAGTACACGCTACATGCTAGTCAATTGTGAATGCTCTAACCAGCAATGGAGCTGGGTTGCTCCGCTGCAGTTTATAGCACTCGTAACTGAACAGGAGACAGGCAGTGGTGGCATGAGTCCAGGAACGGAGGGTCCTCACTAAGGTTCAGAAGGGGAACTGAACATACAAGTACTAGTGCAGGAGCTGCTGTCAATTGTATGTGAACAAGCTGATGGAACCATGGACCTGCAGGAGGGCTGAATATCTGCCACAAGGAAGATGCAGATAGACATTATTCAGGTGCACTGTTGCAAGAACCATCCAGTGCATTAAGATAACTACTAGCATTGCGAGAAGGGGCAGTGTAGGCATTAACACCCCTTCTGGAATCAGAGGGAAAGAGGCCATGATCTCCTGCTTCTCTACAGTGTAAGGCAGGCGACATATAAAGTGCATTAGAAAGACTGTGCCACCATTGCAATTCCAGTTACCTTGTTCTTTTTCCCATCCACTTCAAACACCGAAATGGAGCCTTTGCGGTAAATTTCGTCGCCTGGTGGATGTTTCCAGACACATTTTGCCTACAAGAAAATGACATTCAAAGTTAGGGTAACAATACTGCTCTAGCAGCTGCTTTGAAAGCAGAAAGAGCCTCTTGGATACAGAATAAGTGTTCCTAGCAGGGAAACATTCATTCCTGTTCAGCTACAATGAGAAACTGGATTCCCAGCCCCCACTCCTACTCCACTGCGGTCCATCCAGCTGGCCCAGGGATTAAGACAATCTGAGAAAACCTGTCTTCCTTTCAAAGCTGTGCAGAGCACTTAGCATTCAGGCAGGCAGGCTCCCAAAGGGACTATTCGAGCCCAAAACAGCTACTTTGTTTTGACGTGTTTTCATTATACTTCCAATCTCCAAACCTAAGGAGCTGGGCAACGATCACCAAGGATTTACCATGTGTCTGCGCAGGATTGTCTGACTCTTCATGTATTTGAGACAGAACTCGCACATGTAGAGGCGTCCCAACCGAGCATACTCTTCTGGGTAGGGAGAATGATACCAGGTGTCCAGCTCATAGCGGCCAAAGGCAATTGTTTTAATCATGTTGCTGCCTTCTGTGATCTGGCCCTGAAGCCGCAACTTCTCCTATCAGCGGAAGGAATAGAGGAAATGTAATAAAAAAGGAAAGGGAAAAACAAACATTTATTTCCCTTCTGTGAGCCTCTTCCAGAGCCATCTTATAAAATGCAAAGCCCCAAGGAGCCCTCCATGCTAGCTTGACACATATTAACAAGTTTCTTGTCATGCCGGTATGGCCTGTGATCTCCAGGACCTCACATCACTCAACCTTACCTTGGATTGTTAACTTGAAACAAATTTACCCTCCATGCCCACTTTGTATTTTCTCCCTCCCACAAGGGGAAAAGGGTCACTGACCATTCTGGTCAAGGTGGCCCCCAGGTACCACCAGAGACCATCAAAATTGCTTCTGGATCCGCTTTGGGGGTGGGAAGCGGCATCTCAAGAAGCCCTTATCAGTCTAGCTTAAGACACAGTTCTGAACTCCAGGATGGCAGCGCGCTGACAGGCTGGCCTCTTGCAGAGCATTTTAAACTCTCAACTCAATCAATACTCAGCTATTGTTTCAATGTGTGAAGCTGTTGCCCATTCTGCCCAGGAACACATTGATCTTCTCTCACGGGAGGAAAGCTGCAAATGAGCACTTGATAAATGGGACCGAATCACTCTCTTGCCTCAGAGCTCTTGCAGTGTCCAAGACTGGAAATGCACAGCTCCAGCTGTACTGTGGGCAAATTCATTGTTGTCAGACACCTCTAGACTCCTTATATTTTTAAGACCTAAATACAGGAAGACAGTCAGCCCTGGTGTAACTCCACTGACTTGGCTCTTATTTTGAACATGTTACACTCTGCATTCTACTGCCATTTACACTTTGCATAGTTCAGAGGTGGTTCTTCTCACACACTCTCACTCATCAGCATAAACACTGCAGACTGTGGGGACGTTCAGCTCTTGGGAAAGCAAAGGCCGCTGCTAGCAGACATGTTAAGGATTAGGAGTCTCACCAGGTCTTCAGAGGCCCGTGCTTGTGCTCTTCGGAAAAGCTCTAGGTCATACTCGCTAGTCAGGTTTTCCAAGAGGGGTTCTCTGGTGTTGCCATAGGTTTGTCTGTGTTCCTGAAAAAGTTAAATATTAGGAGCTTTAAACCGCTGAATGATCTATGCCAGCCCTGGGCTGCTGAATGCCACAGCCTTGTTTGCCCAGCATTCTGCAGGATGAGTGGAAAGCAAAATCTCCATATACTTGTGGCATACTATAGAAAGGAACTAAAGTACATTTTGCTGTCATACCATGTACTTTTCTTTCTGCTCCTTGGTTAGTCCCGCATTTCTTTTCTTCCTCAGCTCTGCTACCTTCTCTTTGTACCGCAGCTGTCTCTCTGTCGGTGCCTGAAAGAGAGAAGCTAGGAATAGTCAATGCACTTAACTTACTTCAAACATTGCCCGTATCCTTTCAGTTCTAAAGGACTCAACATTCCATGCGTTCCCCCTTTCATCAAGTCTTTCTCCCCTGAAGGGTACGTTCAGTTGAGTGCTCGTCACCAATAGCTAGGAAAGGCAATATGAAATCACAAGGCAACATAAAGGAATATAGAGTATGTTACGTGAGCAATGGGTTGATAATGTGTGCTAGCTGCATCTTCCATTAAAAAAAAGTGTTTAAATGAGTTTTATGAATTTCAAAGCTCATGAGAGAACACAGATTAGAGTCAGGCAGAGCGCAGACATGTAAAGGACAGAGTCCTCTTTCTTCCCCAGGCCTGCTAGTGCGCCTCAATCCCAATGCACAGAACCATACTCTGTCTATTTGGGATTTTATCATGTGGACAAATATTCCTTGGAAACAGACTCAGGTCAAACTTGTTAGAAAGATAAACTCATCTAGATTTGAACCCAAGTGTCCAAAATTTGAGAAACATGAACCACTGAAGGCCTTCTCTTTGGTTTAGCAGAAGGTATACTGACCAATGCGTTTCTGTAGAAACACATTTGCTCTGCATTTCAAAAAGCACGAACAGAGAATAATCTCTCAGAACAGCCACAGCCTATTTTGCATAACTATAATAGATTGGTGGATTATGATGTTTCCTATAGCAATCAGGGCCAGCCACATCCCATGTTCTCACCAGCAACTAGGGTTTTTTTTGGAGATATCCTATCTCCTAAAACTGGAAGGGACCTTGAAAGGTCATCGAGTCCAGCCCCCTGCCTTCACTAGCAGGACCAAGTACTGATTTTGCCCCAGATCCCTAAGTGGCCCCCTCAAGGATTGAACTCACAACCCTGGGTTTAGCATGCCAATGCTCAAACCACTGAGCTGTCCCTCCCCTGCTCCAAACCCTCATCTCATGATTACAATGGAGAGGATAATGGTGCACGAGGGCCCAGCACAAAGCCCATTTCAAAGATGAATCAGGAAGAGGAATGCAAGAGTTCTAGTCACAAAAGCTTGAAGGCCCAAACTGAGGTTTCGCACCTGGAATTGGGACACTGCTTATGCAGAGAATGCATACCTGATGTCTGGTGGCATGCCTGTTGTTGTCATCCTGTCTGTGGGACAGCATCCTCTCCTCGATCTGTTTATCCCGGCTCTGTGCTCTCACCTGGAAATCAGAAAAAAGCCCTCAAAGCATGTGAGGAGTCTTTTTCCAGTTCCCCTTTGAATTCCAGTATACAGAATGCACACCATGATACAAATATGCACTGCTGTTTCATGTCTGAAGTGAGACTACACTTCGAGCATAATAACCATCAGTTTAACCCTGGGCTATTAATGACAGGCCTTGACATCTCGTATTGTAAAAGCAGAATGAAAACAGAAGAGGAGAGAAAGTTACCTTGCACTCATCTGCTGAGAGATTATGATATAGTGGGCATCCTGATATGGAAAAGTGTCTCTCATGCTTCCCTGTTAGGTGTCCTGTGGAGAACCAGAGAAAAAACCTTACAGCCAGTAAGTAAAAAAGCAAATAATTAAAGCATCTTTAGATCAGGTGGTTAGACACTGTGGCTGGGTTTCAAAGAGGGGCTAAATAAGTTTATTACCCGTAAAACAGGCCGAAGAAATCTCATGATTCACAAGATAAGCTGTAGGGGCCAAAAAGGAAACCCAAATATACACACTACACCACATTATCATGTTAGCTCATCTTCCTTCCAAGTATCCTGCTTCTGGCAGTAACAAGGGTCTTACCTCAAGAACCCTATATTTTCCCCAAGCCTTTACGTTGATGACCCATCTCCTTTCTGACAGATCACTTTCCTGTCACATCACATCCATTCCCCTTGTACTCTCACCCCTCCACTGCAGGGTGCAAGAATTCCAAAAGGATTTACTAGGATTGGAACCAACAAATTTCACCGATGTTCCATCCAGAATACCACACGATATCAATGTAAACAGGGTTTTTTCATTTTGTTTCAAAGTGAATTTAGTGCGGATTGCATTTGTCCACAGAACCGGTAAAGTTCAGACAGCAGCAGGGCAAGCTTCCTCCACACTATCCTGTCACAGCACTGACACGCACTGACCACCTCAAGTGAGAAAGGGTATTTCAAACTCCATGGCCCATTCAGTTGCTCTCTGCTGAGAAACTATTAAAAAGGGGGCGACTGAAGTTTGTGTAGGAGGAAACTGAAGCAAGATCAAAACTATTTCCACATATGCCAAAGAGCCAACAGGTGGCACAGCATCCAGTCACTATTAACGGACTGGATCTCAACTACTGACCTAGAAGAATATTCCATTGACCTTCCAGGCCCAACGCTGCAGAGAATTTTGCAGTAAACTCAGAGCTTTTTGTACAAGTGATAGTGCATCGTGAGAACTCCACTGATCTGGGTGCAGATAAAGAAACTTGGAAAAAATCTGCACTGTAACCATCCATTCTGAGGCTTTTCTTCTCACCACCCTCAACTATTTCTGGCTAAAAGACACCTCTGAAAAGTATGTACTGCTGGCGTGTTCTAGTCCCCCCAAGTGGTTTTCTATTTCAACCACCCAACAAATACCCTGATCCCAATAAAATGCATGCTGCTGAGACATACTATTCCACCCAGTGGGGGTTCTCAGTCCTGTGAAACGTGGGCTACTGAGCCCAATGTCAGAAATGGAAGGGAGAGGAACTAATCTTGGAGCTGGCTTTACCTAGGGAGTTGCAGCCAGGCGTGGGACACTTCATGTTGAAGTTGTAGCTTTCATGGAAACGGCGGCGCTTGGGGCGGTGAGATAGGTCACTTCCAGAATCCTTCATGGACATGTCCTTGGCAATGCTCTCATCATGGGACACATTTGGACTGGATATATCTATGTCAGACTCTGAAGAGGGGGCATTCCCAGTTGGGGTGCGCGGTGGAGACTCGTCATGATCCACTGCATTTTTGGTATCTGAATGAGAGTTGAGACATTATAGATTTGCATGAAGGGAAGCTTACAAAGAAATGAATTACGTGACTTCACACAACACACAGCCACCTGCTGCAAACCCTCATCCTTAGGGCCCTGCATTAAACCATCAGTCTCATAGGGCTGGTCTCCGAGAGAAAGCACACCACTTGGCTGACATCGTCCTGCAAGCACTCAAAGCCACACCTCACTCCCGTACCTCTATCAGAGAAGTCGACCACTTGCTCTGTTTCTGATCCAGATGAGCGGGTCTGTCGGAGTGGGTATTTTTTTGGAGTCACAGGGGTGGGTTGTTGTTGACTGCGGGTCACCCTCCTAGTAGAATAGGCAGGCTCCTCTGTGCCAAAGGATGGCGGATTACGAACTGGACTGGAATCTAGTTTAATAAAAAATAAAAAACCAATGTAATTGAGGGCAACCACTACCAATCACTAACCTGCCTCCCCGCCTGATCCCAAAGCCAAGGTCAAATTACCTCTGGTTCTGCTCCTATCAACAATCCAAACTACAAGTTCAACATCATCTGACAGCTTGACCCCAATATCAAGGTATCTCTTCCAACACCATTGATACATCTACTAGCATCGAGATCTGTTCTGTTCGTCTAAGCTGCCCTCTTTCACAGTTTTACAGATACTATGAGCCACCAACAATCTGAGGAATGAGGCACAAAGTCAACTTGCTCTGTACTCCATCATTTATCCAATGGTTACAAACCATCTCCCACTGAGAAAGAGAAAAAGCTGCCTGTGAAGATGAGGATCATTACTAGTTAGATCAGCCCTCTGTATACCACAGCTGCTTTTGGTGCAAGGCAGTAGAGTTGGGACCCTGCATGTAACCTTCCAGCATTACCACCCTTAATAAAGATTCTCATGCAGCAAATTCTCCAGCAAAAAATGTTTTTTTCCTTTTAATTACTGTCAGCCAAGATCAGCAGTCCTTAAATCAACTATGAGGAAGTGGAAAAGTAAAACGTACCTTCTGTCTAGATGCCAAAATGTAGAAACTTGCAAAATATACCCCACTAACACAATATATTGGTTACACTGCATTACACAACAGGCTTTCAACTAATCTAAAAATACACTCCTCCTCACAGCACAGAGCCTCAACTTCCATTTCTGAGCACCTCCAAGCAGCCTGAAGTCTCCAAATACCAACTTCCCTCTTTCTGTCTAGTTATTTATATGCTGTTCTCATCACCGTGATATTACTAAGCTAAAATTCAGGAGAAAAAGCCCTGAGGTCCAGTTTCAGGGATGTGGTTACAATGAAGCCATAACAGAACAGCGAATTCCAGGTGTGCCAGGCCTTTATGCAAAGGCATGTTTTGAACATTTCTTTTGATTACAATACAAACAGCTGTTCCTTTAAATAACTCAAGCGACTTAGAAATTTTGGGAACATTCATTCATGTGAATGATACGTAGCACTTCTATATAACTACACGCTTAAGAATCTTTAAGTGCACCAAAACCACTAAACTGAGCATCACAAACGTTTGTATTGGGTAGACAGCATCCATTATACACATAAGGAAACTGAGTTAGAGAGGTCAAGTGACTTTTTAAAGGTCTCAGAAAATCAGTGGCAAAGCTAAGAATAGAACCTAAGGATTCCAACTGTCAGTGCCTTTAACTACGAGACAACACTACCTTTCAGATCAGGGAATAGATAGGAGGTCAGACTTCCGACCCCCTGTTTAATCATTAGATTGAACACCCTCATTTATGCAATGCATCCTTGCAATGCCTTTGTTCCTTTCCCTGGCACACCTGTATTCAATGAGAAAAAATAATGAATGGGATTAACTAATGTGAAGGTAAAGATTCACTGAAATTCCTTTAAGTATTACCAAGCCAAGAATACTGTGACTGCCTAGCCAGCTGCGTCTGGTGGGGCTAGGAAGAAAGGCATTTACCTTGAGAGCTCTGACTGAGCCTGGCTGAGGAACGGGTCACGCGGGCGGATCTTCGCGACGTGCCATCGCTTTCAGAGCTGTCTGTGTGCTCGGGATCTGTAGAGAAATCGGAGTCTTCGGTTCCATCTGAACTACTGCCTGCATTCCTCTGTAACACCACAGACCCAGACATTAGCACAGGAGCACTTCTACTTGTATACTTGTATTAATACTAGAAATAAGAGACTATTTGATGCTAGAAAGATCATTTCAATACACCACAAAAACAAACTAATGGCATCCAGGTAGTTTGCTCTGGAGGAAAAGCTCGCTTTAGTACAATAAACATGAGATATCAGACAGGACCATCCATAATACAGGATTTTTGCAAACAGATCAGGTCCATAAAACTACAGATGACACTAATTTCATTTTAGAAGAACATACTTGAAGTTTCAAGCAATTCAGACATTAGCTCCCTAATTTAACAAAAAGGTTCCAGACTGACTGCTCTCTTTCCAGGGCTCTCACTACACCACTACACATAAGCAGCAGTGCTTCCCCTTTATCCTCTGAAAGCGTGCTCTTGCAAGAAAGTGAGACAGCAGAGCCAAGGCCCAGCAGAGTTAGCAGTGGGAAAGACGGGAACCAAGACTACATGTCCTGACCAAATGACCATTCCACTTGCCCCACTGGGGTAGGGTTTGGGGGCCGGAGTGGGAGTGATGTGAAACAAAGCCCAGGACTCAGTGAACATGCAGGATTTCATGCCATGGCAGGTTGATGAATGCAGGTGCATCACCCTGAGTCTTCTAGATGCTCCTATATACAGGGAATCCCAGCTACACAACCCTGGGATTTGGGAAGGTGAAGGAACTCAGGGGAATCTGAGGGGGTAAAGAGGGGAGTATAAGGGGTAGCTGATGAAGTTCATCAAGGGTGAGCTTTGGCAGTGCACAGTTGTATGGTGTAGAGGGGGGAATGGGAGGGGGTGAGATAAAAGCAATCCTGTGGGAGTGGTATAGCAGGAATAGCTAAAGCAACCCACGGTGGGGGTACGTTTATGGCATAGAGAGAAATATGGGGGAAGAAATAAGGCCAAGTGTAGGAGGGTGGCATAGAGAGAAGCATGGGGAGAGCTAAGACAGTCAGGGTGGTAGTACAGAAGAGTGCACGGGGGGAATTAATGCAGCCCAATGCAAAGGTCTTCCCTGGGGTACATTAACTCAGCCAGATATTTGCTTAGTTTTACAACAGGCTACATAAAAACTAGTGAAGTCATGGGGGGAGGGATAGCTCAGTGGTTTGAGCATTGGCCTGCTAAACCCAGGGTTGTGAGTTCAATCCTTGAGGGGGCCACTTAGGGATCTGGGGCAAAATCAGTACTTAGTCCTGCTAGTGAAAGCAGGGGGCTGGACTCGATGACCTTGCAAGGTCCCTTCCAGTTCTAGGAGATAGGATAGGATAAGTCAGTAGAAACTAAAGTGTCATCCAATGATTTGTTTATACTGCTCTATATACTAAGACACTGAAATGTAAGTACACTATTTTATGTTCCAACTGACTGATTTGATAATTATATGGTAACAATGAGAAAGGCACGAGGCAGCAACTTTCCAGGACTGGTGGGGCTGTGACCCTGGGGTGGTTTTAGGTCTGATTTCGCAAGCAAGTCGTTTTTAAGTGAGGGGACGCTTGGGGGCCCGCAAGACCGACCAGGCTCCTGCCAGGGAAGGTGGAGAGCCACGGCTCTAGGGTGGGGATGCTCTCGTGGGGAGTCGGGCAAGCCTGGCCGGGGGGTGCCCTAGAGGGGAGGAGGGGGAAGGGCAAGGCAATCTGGGGGAGCAACGGAGGCTAAATCAAGCGCGACACCCCTGTCCCTGGCTGGGGGATGGGGCGCCCCTACGTACCCCTGCCGCCGCCGCTTTGTTTTGCCCCCGCTGCGTTACCGCTCCCTCAGGCGCGCGCCCCCGCCTGCTCCAACCAATCACGGTAGAAGAGGGGCGGGGCGGATAGGAATCCTCTCCAATAGAAATGTTAATGAGGAAGAGGCGCGGCCCCAGGGCGTGACTGACGGGAAATTCCAGCCTATCCGCGTGCATCTCGCTGCCACAGACCCAACCACTCAGGGAGGACAGATTGAATGGGAGGGAAGGGAGAGCGAACGGGAGAAACAAGGCACGCGTGGGGAGGTGACGGTAGGGGGCGGAGACGGGCAGCAATGACGTCCAATCAGCGACCAGCAGTGCCGCAAGGAGGAGCCAATCAACGACCAGGACTCCAAGTAGGTGTCCAATCAGAAAGGCAAGAAGGCGGAACGTGCTCCAACAGGGGCAAGGGGAAAAGATGACCGTTGGGGCGATGAGTGATAGCAGCGGTGACCAATCAGTGCTCAGCAGGCCCTACTGGGGAGCCATTCAGGTTGCGAGGTGGGCGGGTGCAGGGGGCTGAAGGCCGCTATTTTCGCTCGGTTTTCATGGCTGTAGGGGGCTGTTCGGTGGGGGGCAAACGGGGGCAAACAGGATCTAACCGCCCTTTCCCTCCCCAGGGCCTTTCCAGCCTGCCCGGCCCTGTACTCACCTTCCTGCGCGGCATCCTTGGTGGGGGCGGGGGCAGCGAAGGCAGTTGGTCTCCGGTGCCCCCGGCCCGGGAAGCGGCGGTAGCCGCCGCGTTAGCACCGGTGGGCTCCGTGGTGACAGCCGTGTCTCTCGTTCTATCTCGCTGACGGTCACTCCGCGCCAGGCCGCTCCTCCGCCGCCAACAGCCCCTGTTTCCAGCTAGGTCCCTCACGCTTCCGCCGGGACACGGTCCACACCCCCGTCACGTGACTCAGATCGAGCCTCACGCCAGCGGCCGCCGCCATCTTGGATTCGGACAGGTAGAGTCAGGCTCTGTTGACAATGAAGCTGGCGGCAGCCATTTTGGATGTGGGCACTGACATCGCCAGGCGGGGGGGCTGCCCGCCATCTTGGTTTAGGGCATTAAGAAGGATTCGACCCTATGGACGCTCAAAGTTTGAAGGGCCGTTTGGGAGTCGGACACGACGTTTTCCAAGGAGCCTGGTGTCTGCGACGGGTTAGGGTTAGGGCAGGCCCCGACTGCCTCTGAGGCCATGATCGGCCATCTTGGCTGCTGTCAATAGAGCCCCTTGCTGGTTTCATTGATTGATTCGGTGTGAGTAGGTCGGTGAGTATCGATGATTTTCCTCAGGGAGGTGGGAGAGTTAGGTATTGTGGTCTCCGTACTGCACCTTGCCCTCCTCTCTTCCTGACCACCGGGGCTTATGGGACTTCATCCCTGGGCTCTGTCTCCTCCAGACTCAGTCGAATATCCGCTGCTGAGGCGGGGTAGGACAGGGGGTATCAGGGGACTGGGAAACGGGGTTGTTTTTTACCCAGCTTGGGGTGGCAGCGTGAGTTGGTGGATGGAGCAGCTCATTAGCAGACCAGTGCTCATTGTAGGATTGAGAACCCCAGTTCCCCCCCTTATTATTTTCACCCGCTGCTGTTCCTTAATCTGGCATTGAGATGCTGTGTGATAAAGTCACTTTACCTTTCAATGTCTCCGTTTCCCCATCTTTCAAAAAAGGATAATAAAAAACCTACCAGGGATAGCTCAGTGGTTTGAGCATTGGCCTGCTAAACCCAGGGTTGTGAGTTCAATCTTTGAGGGGGCCACTTAGGGATCTGGGGCAAAAATCAGTACTTGGTCCTGCTAGTGAAGGCAGGGGGCTGGACTTGATGACCTTTCAAGGTCCCTTCCAGTTCTAGGAGATAGGATATCTCCAATACTTCCTATGTGGATTGTAGGCATAACCCAGTAATTTTTGCAATATGCCTAATGGAATGAGTAAGTAAAATCTATATTAATAACTATTTATTTATTTATTTATTTATTTTGTTATAGTCTGCTGTTACAAACCTGAGCAGGAGAGAACGCTATCAAATGGAAAGTTTGTGTGCCAGTCACAAATACCGAAACAGATTAAAAGAAATGGAGGGAAATGTTATTAGATTTTTAAAATCGCAATTCCCACTAAGTTAAGCAGATTTCTTATTGGGATGGGCAAACAGGTAATGAGCTAAAAGTTTATTGTGAGGTTTGTTTATTGCTATAATAATACTTGATAATGTTGTTTATATTTCATTAGCACCATATGGCAGTACGAAGATCTCAGAGTACTTAAAAAAAAATAATAATAATAATCTCACAACAGTCTTATGGGGTATTGTAGATAAGGCCAGACCCGCCCTAGAAACTTTTGCCATTATGGCATTTTTATACCAGCAAAGCCTTAGTGTAGACACAGGTATGTTGGCAAAAATGTCATATTGCTTGTAAAACTCAATTTGTTGGGGAAGCTGGGTATGAGCTATACATTGCACTTCCCCTGCAGGAAGAGGGGGGCCTTGCTGGTATAGTTATACCAGAAAAATCCTTTCCAGCATAGACAAGGTCTAAATGTTATCCCTATTTCTACTGATGATGAGTGACCTATCTCCTCCAAATCCTAAACCTTAACAAAAACTGAGGTTGTTTCCTTCCACCCCAAACAAATCATGATGTTTGCAGGACTTAAAAATTCTAAGGTTCTTTAGCTGGATGTTATTCTGTAATCTTGATATTTGATGTATTTGAAGACAGGTTATGGAATCTAAAAGAAAGGTCTTGATCATTTGTGGTCATGGCACCTTTTCATTTTTGCAAAAGTGTGAACTCTGGGGTTTTGTCCCAATTCTAATGTGGGCAGTTATATTCTGCCTCACTTAAATCCTCTTTCAGATTCAATTGGATAAAGAAGCCTTTGCTAAACTGTTGTATAGTATTCCTGCATATTATTAAACACTGCTGGGGTGGGATGTGGCAGTTGCTGTATTTCAGTGTTGGGTGAAGGATTTGTCTGTACAGCTTGTACATCAGTTATAGTTTGCAAAGTGTTTTGAGATCAGTCTGGCTGAAAAGTTCTGTAGAACTGAAATTCTATTAAGTGTGCATCTTACACCTTAAGATGATCTTTTACTCTCACAGATCTTGGGAGACAGACCTGTCCTTGCTTACAGACAACCCCCCAACCTAAAGCAAATACTCACCAGCAACCACACATCACTGAACAAAAACACTGACCCAGGAACCTATCCTTGTAACAAATCCCGATGCCAACTCTGTCCACATATCTATTCAAGTGACACCATCATAGGGCCTAATCACATCAGCCATACCATCAGGGGCTCGTTCACCTGCACATCTACCAATGTGATATATGCCATCATGTGCCAGCAATGCCCCTCTGCCATGTACATTGGCCAAACCGGACAGTCTCTACGCAAAAGAATTAATGGACACAAATCTGACATCAGGAATCATAATACTCAAAAACCAGTGGGAGAACACTTTAACCTGTCTGGCCATTCTATGACAGACCTGCGGGTGGCTATCTTAAAACAGAAAAACTTCAAAAACAGACTCCAACGAGAGACTGCTGAGCTGGAATTGATATGCAAACTAGACACAATCAACTCAGGGCTAAATAGGGATTGGGAATGGCTGAGCCATTACAAACATTGAATCTATCTCCCCTTGTAAGTATTCTCACACTTGCTTCTTATCAAACTGTCTGTACTTGGCTACCTTGATTATCACTTCAAAAGTTTTTTTTCTCTTACTTAATTGGCCTCTCAGAGTTGGTAAGACAACTCCCACCTGTTCATGCTCTCTGTATGTGTGTATATATATCTCCTCGATATGTTTCACTCAATATGCATCCGAAGAAGTGGGTTGTAGCCCACGAAAGCTTATGCTCTAATAAATTTGTTAGTCTCTAAGGTGCCACAAGTACTCCTGTTCTTTTTGCGGATACAGACTAACACGGCTGCTACTCTGAAACCTGTCATCTTACACCTGTGACTTATGATTTTTGTGGAATGTTGCTTAAGTTAACTTCTTGCAAATGTGCACATCCTATCAAGTTACATACTTCTCTGGACGTGTCAGTGCTGACAGGAAACTATTGGCTAAATGGGACAGACAATCCTGCTGTGACAAGACTTGATTCAAGTTTTTGCAGAAGTTAATAACCAGTGAAGCTAAACAGCATTTTGCAAATTGCTTAGAAAATTGCTGTATTATCCTGATATAATAACTGTCGTCTGCTCCCGAGGGACAAGAACTGTAGAATTGAGAACAAAGGGCATTTTGTGGCCAATGAGACATTAGTTTCCATATTTAACAAGGCCAGGGCTTTATTGTAGTTATAGTTGCATCTTGTTGTTATGGCAGCAGAGCTCTCTAAGCAACATACGGTATATAACCATGTTTAGAGTTGGTTTATTAGGCTGTTCCTGCTCTGTATCTCCAGAGTCAATATTCACTTAGAAGTACGAGTCAGGATCCTGTGACTTCCTGTGCTCTAAGTGAATGGAAAGTCTATTTCTGGGAGTCTTTATTTGCAGTGCTCCAATGTGTAATATTCTGCACTTAGCCATAATGTTTCAGTTGGTAATCTCAAAGCATTTCACAAAAGTGGGTAATCATTTGACTACCTTATACAGATGGTGAAACTGAGACACTGAAGGTCAGCAATTTGCTCAAATATTACGGAACTTGGCATCTAGGCCTCCAATCTCCCATGCTTCTAATAGCAACACTGGCTCACTTTCATAGTTCTTAAAATAGTTACTCCTCGAGGAATTCTGTGCAAAAAAATCCATGCATGATATTTTCAAATTCTGCATGTTTTGTTCGTCAAAATAACACAATATAATCACGCCAGTTTCAATTATTTTGGTAATTTTATTTCAAAATACCTGTCAACAAATATGTCTATAACAAAACAGATGACAAAAAATATTTGGGAAATGTTTTTTGACAAATAGATTCCTTACTAGGCATATTAATACAGAACTTTGAGTAATACTTTTCTGTATTGTATTTTAAATAAATTATTTCCTGCACCCCTCAGAAGCCATGCAAGGCTTGGGGGAATCGGGGGTAATGAGGGAGAGGGAAGTAGTTGCTGGGAAGGAGCCTGGGAATGAACTTGGAGGGTTGTTGGATTTGGGTGGGAGAAGTTTTTTGGGAGGGGGATTGTTAGGGGGTTGGGGAGCCTCCCCCTTGCAGACCCTGTCTGACCCCTAGCCTCTCCCATTGATTCAGGCACATCTGTCCCTATTCCTGTGTGTCCCACCACTCTTCCTCCCCCATCCCCATGTTTCCTTGCATTCCCTGCCCATCATGTGTCAATGCATCCCGCAGCCACCCCTCCCCTCCTTCCTTCTGTCCCCATGTGTCCCTGCACCCCCACTCATCCACCCCTCCTCCCCCATCCCCATGTGTCCCTGCACCTCCCGCCCGCCCCCCCAGCAGTAAATAGTATTAGGATGATTGACAATACCCCTATTTTTACAAAGTATGCATGAATGGAAAAAACACATTTTCCTCCTGTAAATTGTTATAGGTTCTGTTCAGGTGCCTGATGAGAAAGGAAGATAGAAGCCTTCATTGCTGAACTTTTCCATCCTCTGTTGGAAGGAGGAAGGGACCAGGTAATGACTGTTATGCTGCAGCTTGCCAGAACTTTTCTCGCACATAAATCTATGATGGAGCTAATTTTAGGGATTGGGTGGCTCAGGGGATTGGTAAGGGAATACCGGGGCTTTTGCTGTTT